CCCAAACAATCTTCTCCTTGCGATTTTTCGGGAGATTCTTCATTTTTTTCTTCCTTCTCTCTCACACATGTCACAAGAACAAAATAATACACATCTCACTGACTAATACAATATACCATTTAAATTTTAAATATTAACCCCCACAAAATGGGAAGCTATTATTATTTCCCACTCCTAAATAATAAGATTATGTGTTATTCAAAACCAACAGCCAGTATTTTCTTTCACACATAGACATGAAAAAGAATTATATACTCAACCTTATATATTTATTATACTTGTTCTTAATTAAATTAAAATGTGTGAATTTTATATAGATTATTTTTTATAATAATTTTTTATTAATTTTATTAACATATTAAGATATATTTGTTATAATTTAATTGTATATAAGTATGTTAAGTATATAAAGCTAATTACATTTATATTATACACCATCAAATTATCCAATTAAAATATTATATTGTTGAAATTTCTTAATAATAAAATAAAATAAATGTATTACTATAATGATGATTAGTATAGAATTTATTTAGAATAAAATATCTTAATTAAATACATTGTTGTCAGATTCTAAAGTTAACTATCTAAATTTATCAATTTTATATTTCTATTTTACAAAATTATGATAACTCAATCATAAATTCATATTAAATGTAAATTTGGTTAAACTTGCAAGTTGACTTTTTGAGAGTTTATCATTTTTACATTTCTAATTTATAAAATTACATCAACTCACTCATAAATTTAGAAATTTAAAAACTCAATTAAACTTGCTAAATTTGCCAATTTTTTTTTTACCAAGTTGAGCTAGTTAGGTATATACTGTGTAGAAACTAATTCATGGAAGTAACAGGACCTAGTTCAAAAAAAATCTCAAAAACTAATGTTAATAAAATTGAAAACAAAAAATAAGTTGTCCTATTTTTAGATTTCCAATTTGAACATGATAATCTATCAATGTAGATGAATTTAATTTTAATGATTTATATTATAAATATATTTAAATTAAATTAGAGTTATACTTTATATTTTAATTATTTAATTTTATATTTTGAATGTCTATTTATTAATAGAGATAAACTTTTACGAGTTTAAAAATTTGAGTTTACATCTCTATTGATTCATGAGTTTGACAAGCATGATCACATGACATGAATAATGGTATATTTTCAATCAAATCATGTAATGATATATATTTTATTAAAATTATATATTGAAATATTCTGATCAAAAAAATAATTTGTAATTACTACCAAATAAAAAATTGAGAAATTAATCATGATAAAAAAATTGAGAAATTAATAATTTATATGATTATGCAGGAGATTTTTTTTTTTTTTTGGACCTAAGAGGGCAAAGCCCGACAGATATTTAGGAGATTTTGCGTGACTCATACACAGCATTAAAGCAGGCTTCAACCCTCGGCCCAATAAAGGTTTTAACCCATTCCATTTTTTGGGCCTACAAAGCAAGGCCCAACTACCACAAAAATCTCATATGCCCGCTGTCATTTGGGAATACGTGTTAATATTCAGTTGGCAGTACCTTAACTGCCACATTAGCTGATTAACTAGAAGCAAAAGAAAGTTACATTGGTGAACAAGCCCATAAATGTAAATTAGAACCACCCATCTGTGTGCTAATTTATCAATAAATCATATACTGTATTTGTTTTCTAACCTTACAAAAAAATTTTAACACAAAGAAAGAAAGAAAACAGAATAATCAGTCGGCTCTTAACTGTTAACTCTATAAAAGTTAATTTCCTTCTCACCCTATTATTCTGGAATTTATATGCCGACTTTTGGGTTGTTGGTGATGTAATTTACCTCTCTCAAGAGCTAACATGCATAGAGCCCGTGATTCAGATGAGGTGAGCTTATTCAGCCAAACTTATTAGACCAGGCTTAAAACATCTCGAATATATATATATATATATATATAAAACCTTATATAATTAAACCTAAACCTAACATTTCAGATTTTTGGGCTAGCCTAAATATCTAAATTGGTAAATGGGCAAGCTTGTCTTATATTGACTTAGGTCCAAAAACCCTGTTTATTTTAAAATTGATCATTTTTTTAACCTTGACCCTTATTGATCAGGCTTAAGGTTGGACCTATAAATCCTTTTTTATTTTTGAAGAATTTAATTTTTACATTATAATATTACATACTTTTTTTAAAAATATAAATTATAATGTTCAAAAATAAAAAAATAAGTAATATAAATGTTTTATTTTAAATTACAAACATATATTCTAAAGCTTAAATTTAGCTTCGAAATTGAAAATATTTTATTTTTTGCTGGTTAAAAAATGGACAGTTCGAACATGTCTTTTTGGGCCTTAAATGGGCTGAGCTTAAAAGCTCAGTTACATTACATTTTTTTGATTTTTCAAACATAAGCCCTCAAAAAGACTAAAACAAGTAGCCCATCAAGTGTAATTTATTCCTAGCTCTATTGAATCAGGAATACTCAAGTTTAATGAAAAAAACCCAGGACTTTTGATTCAATTGGTAAAGGATAATAACCGCTAAACTGAAAGACTAGAGATTTTGAGTTCGAGCCCTGGATCAATGCACATTGGCGTTACGTGGAAGAGGACAGGTGTAGGATTTATACCAGTTGCTTCTTTATGCAAAACGCTAACGAAACGATAAATATTGGTTCCGGATATCCAGAACATGCATCTACATACGTGTGTGCGTGCTTGCTTTAACCCTTTTTCCTTCTTGTCAAACGAACAAAAAATGAAACCAGATTCTCATTGGAGGTTCTAGGAATTTGAGATTGAAAAGGCAGGAGGAGGAAGAAGAAGAAGAAGCTCGTGAAGGGTCTGTCATTCATGTGTGCGTGCGCGTGTGTCAAGGTGTCTTTCACTACCCCAATATGCAGATTAATTATATGACGAAATGTCTGTAAAGTTGTTTTCACAATTCAAAGCTCTAATTAATATCTACACACACACGTGCTAGCTAGCTCGGAATTGCTGCATTTGTCAAACCCCACCTCTGGGCCTTCGCTGATCTGAACTGCTCTCTCTGGCCTAGCTAGCTGTAGATAGAGACCAAACCTTCGGTCTACTTCGACAAGTACTCCATATCCTCTTCATTCTTCAAAGCGACCCAAATAAAGAAACAAAACTTGCCAAACCAACTGATACATGACATATATATCCTCAATTCCTCATTCTCGTATCTGAATTCCTCTCCCATTATCGATACCCCCACGGAGACATCGAAAGCTTAGTACACATCATCATGCCCCATGTGAGCTCCCTGACTAAATCTGTGAGCTGCCCACATAAGATACACTCTCAGAATCAGACTATCTAATTAATCCCCACTTTCTATCTGCTGCATTAATCACTCTTTCTCCCGTATGTGTCTATGTGGACCCAGGTAGAGTTAGAGGAGAAGTAAACTCATACGGTCAGGGGCCATAATAGGAAAATATTTTGGGAAGAGGAATTTATTAATTCCATTTACACAAAGGAATGCCCCTCTGTTGTTGTTTCTCTCTGCAAGCTGATGAGAAGAACATTAAGTCAAAACAGATGTTTCATCAGATTTCCTTACAGAGAAAGATTGAAGAAACAGACAGTAGTGTGACGTCGCCGTGTATTCTCGACGAACCGTCGGTCTCACATAATATAAGGTGGCTAGCTAATAACAGTTTTTGATATTACTATAAGAAGAAAAGTCTCGAGCTTCGAAACATAATGAATATATGGACATTTTTAGGCTCCTACCTAGTTTGTTGGTTGAGGCCTTTGGCCGGTGTAATAAGAGAAATTCTTAACAGCTACACAGATGAAATTCACTCAACTGGATATGCTATTAATTACCATCAGAAACATTCATTTCAACATCATGTACACTTGATTAGGTCATTGTATAATCCGCTAAACTCGACATTCTTTTGTAATTATCTGTTTGAGCATCCAATTATACAACATGTGTATATGCGTGCTTCGTGCCAATGGTAACAACAACGGCTTGGGAATCAAGTCAATGATGTGATATTATGTATGTCCTCTCTATGCCGAACCAGCTATAAATTTATATTTCTGTACTCTTGATATTATATATATATACACATATATACATTCAATTTGTTTCCCTGTAGTTGGTCGAATTTTGGAAGTGTCATAGGAGAAAATTGTAGAAAACAACGGATCGGAAGGGATTGGAACGAAGTCAGCTAGCATGTGCATATTTGATAATGGCAATTTGCAATGGGAACGTAGTACGCAGTACATACACCTGTACACGCGGGTCATTCATTCTGTGTAGAGACTGTTAGTTTTCTGGAATATATCTACACACACAGAGATGTATAGCTGAAATGACTTTTAATTGTCATGTGCATACTGTCAGTTCTTTATCCTACAGTCAAAGTTCCCTCCTTTTTGATCACTTTTCTGATATTTCTGTCTGAACTTGTTAAACTAGCAGTTAACTGCGGGTATCGTAACTTCTTGGCGTGAACTGTACTTGAAAAACAGAAGATAAGACAAGACTTGAGAGAAATCTCTCACTTTATAGTTTAAAAAAAAAAAAATTGAAAAAAAATCTCTCCACTTGGTTTCACAATATATACATTAAAAAAAAAATTTCCGTCTTGGGTTTCTGATTCTTGAAGATCATATATCTTTGCTCATCTTTCTTGGCTGGCATCTCTTTCTATTTGGAAACCCTAGCTAGCGGATCAATCAGAGTTGTCGACTTCAATACTTCATTATATTTTCAAACAATTTACACATGTGAGATGAGCTGGAAAGTCATATCCAGCCTTTTTAGTTGTATTACTAACTCGTTCTATTCCTTTGTCTTTTGCCGTCACTGATCTGTGAGCAGTTACCATGCCCTTGATTCTATGCTCAGAAGCAGAAAAGAGAAAACAACTCTATAATATGAACGTACAAGAAACAATATATATATATAGATAGATATGATGAGTGAGAACTGAAAATAGAAAGAGTCTGCAAACATTTCCGGAAAGTAAACCTTGTCATTCCATTCAGGTTTAGTTTGGGAAATCAAGATTTCAGAGTATCAACCCACATAGACCTTTTGGCAATTAAAAAAAAAAAAAACCCACATAGACCTCAAATTGATAGAAAAGGATAAGAAAAAACAAAAACAGAAAGTTAGATACTAGATGGGGAATTGCATCACTATATAGCATCACCAGCACAACCTAATGTGAAGTGTAGCACTAATATAACATCACTTAACTTTCCCCAGCCTGAGTTCAAGATCCAAATCTTCCATTTTAGGCTTCTTAACTCCAATTACCATTTCTGCAGATTGGAATACCAGGCCTGCCGCGTGATCGTTTGATGAGAATGGCTTGATGAAGACAGGAAGCTGTACCGAAGAAATATTGGAAGTCTTAGGTCTCTTACAACTCAAAGCATCTTCATCAGCTGCAGGTAGTAATCCCACGGACAAGTCTGTTTCAACATAATCTTCTTCCCTTCCGTTGACCTCGATTACCTCTGAATCAGAAGATCCCTTACAATCATTAACGTTCTGATAATGATGATGAAGATGAGGAACACTAGCACCACCACCACCTTGGCTCTGCTTGAGCCTAGCTCTATCCCTCCTGTGAACATTCATGTGACCGCCAAGAGCTTGAGCAGACCTGAACTCTCTTTTGCAGAAACTACAAGAGTAAGATCTGGGAGGCCATACGTACCCACCAAGTATCCTAGCTGCGTCCTCTGCAATAAAAGCCCTCTCTCCCCAAGACGTGGCTGCTTCGATATGTGACTTTAACATTTGCTTCCTCTTGAGCCACATCAAGTACTGATGATGATGAAGGTGATGATGAGGATGAAATCCCTCCATGATTCTCAAGGTGAAGGCAAGAACCAGGTTTGATGAAGGAAGCTTTATATAGGAAAAAATAGATGGAGAGGAATTGAATAAATGAAAGCAACTTAAGAGTGTATTGTAGCTACATATGCTGAGAGAGATGGGGAATGAAAAAGCTGAAGACGGCAGAATAAGAAACGAAAAGGTGTGGTGGTGTTGTAGCAATAAGCTTTGCGTCTCTTTTGGCTTTTCTAGTGAACCATACTACTGTTGGTTCTTCGTTGGGTTTGCTTGCTAGAGAGGCTCAATCTTAATTAATTGCTTTATTTTTGGAAATGTATACAGTGGGGCCATTAATGAAGCATCTGTCTCGCATCACACGAATGAGAGAGAAGTCTTGTATTCACATCGTAATTAAGAAAATTCAGTATATATGATAGAAACTGGTTTTCTAGGGGCTTCCACCAACCCTACAAACACACACAAAACACAGACATGGTTCCATCAGATCATCTCAATTACTTTCTCCCATCCTATTTATTTCCTCAATTCTAAATGATAAAACAACTTTGAAGATATTTCATAATTTTAAAATATAAAATAATTTGATTAAAATAAAATTTTATTAATCATACTTTTCTATATTACCTTTTAAGAGGAGAAAGAATAGATATAATTGTAATGTAATAATTGGGTGTGTAGATTTAAAATTATACTAAGCGAAGGACATTTTGAGAATTGAGATGTTTACTTTTTTTTTTTTTTGAAAAAATAAGGTTGTGGAATGTTATTATTGAGCTTTATTAGTATGCATAATCTTGTCTCAAATATTATCTTATAATTTAAGACAGAGGGAGTACAAGTTACAGCTAACATATTTTACCGAAATAAAAAAATATTAAAAATCATTAACATTGTTTGAAAATTTAATAAGTTTTTATTTTTTACTTTTATTAAATATATATTCTTTAACAGCATATTTTCTTTTTTTCCTAACATTTAATGAAAGTAGAATGATAAAATTTGTTGTTAAAATTGAATGGAATGACAATATAAAGTAAAATAATAAGTTAAAAAATTTTTCCTCTTTATTAGAGTTGGAAAAACGGGTTGAGCCAGTGGACTAACCCGTTTAACTCGTACAATTTGACGGGTTGGGTTGAAAAAATCGGCGCATTTTTTAAAACGAGCTGGCCCATAGGTTAGCATATTTTAAATTTTTTTATTTTTTAATTACATTATATCTTTTATAAATCTATAATAATGATAATATTTTTTAAATATATAATTTATGACTCTCAAATATGTTCTTTACATTTAAAATATAGTGTAAATTCTTTTTATAATTTGCAAATAAAATTTTTGTTATAGTTTGTGAAGATGATTTATTAGTTTTTATAGAAATATTTTGAATATATATTATTTATTAATAAGATCTATTGATTAAAATTATAAATATGAATTCACTAAGAAAATAATATGAGTTTATATTCAAATTTTTTTCTTAGTGACAAAGATAGCACACTTAGACGAGAAGATGATTGATAGTAAAAATCTAGCAAAATAAATTTGCTTGGTTGAATTTTATATTTATTTTATTTATTTATAAGTTTTTAAATTGATAATTTGCTTTAAAATATGAAATAAATAAATATATACATAGATATTTATATTATATAAATTTTAAATTATTAAAAAAATTGATAATTTTTGCAGGCCAACCCACGGGTTGGTTAGTCCACTAGAAAATAAGTTGGGTTGAATTTTTTAACCCGTTATATCTGGCGGGTTGGCCCAACCTAACCCGCAAAAATGTTAGCTCGTGCAAGCTAGCCCGTCGATTGGCATGTAACCTGTTTGCCCAGCGCTATTCTTTATAGTATAAATAGAGCATAGTGAGTAATCACAATAATGCAGATGGGAGGCATATCTATATAGTGATTATATATACTTTGACAATAATTTTTCCTTACACTCAACTCAATCGACTTGGTTTATCTTGGTATCAGGACAAATTTTTCTTAACCTAAAAAAGATGGGACTTTGTGGGATGATATAGAGAGGGGTTTACGATGGGATAGGACGAGGCGGAAGATGGGATTGCCCTCCGAAGGTCCCATCTCATCCCAAATATTTTATGTGTGTGTGTGTGTGTGTATTATTTTTTATTTTAAAAATATGTACTAAATATACTCCATCCATTAAAATATATAATGCATTTTTAAGAGGTTGGATGTTTAAAAATGTAAAATATTTTAGTGTTTTTAAAGTGTCCCTATGAAGATAGTGTTAGTTTGAAGATAAGTAACTATATTCAATTAAAAATATCTTACATTATTTAATAGGGAAAGTATTAATTATATATAATTTATTCTTATATTAATTATAATTTTAATATTTGAAATCCCTATTTAAAATTAAAATTTTTTATACTAATAATTTTAATGATACAAAGTAAACAGTATAAGGTAATCTATTTTAAATATATTAATTGTATAATTATAATTTATTTTTATATCAATCTATTTAATAATTTTTATTTATATCATGTTTTTTATTTTATTTTCAGAAGAGTCAATAGCTTCAAACATCTCAATTAAAGAAGAACAACAATAACTTGATGTTGTACCTAACTTATTTGTCGTTATTGCTGTTGTAACTTAGATGTCACTTGTAATTATTATTATGATATATTATATCTTATGTATACTTCAATTTAAGTTGTACATTTGTAATTGTGATTGATGTAACTCAATAATTAACTTTAAATCATTGTCATGCTATTTTGGTTTTAAATGTAACAAGTTATGTGATTTAATGTTTTAATGAATATTGTTATCCATATCTTTCTCTTATATTATTTGTTTTACTGACATTTGATAAAAATTTAATGTAAAAGAAGGTGAGTAAGCATAATTATTATATTATATGAGATGTGAGCTTTTGTGTAAATCCACAATTTCCACGTAAGGAGAATGACTAATAAGCACCTTACACAAACATTGATATCAAGTTAGGATCTTTTCATGACAAGTGTTCCAAAATTTATTATTCCTTCTCCCATGTTTAAGTACTCTACAATCTTTAAAAAATCTTAATTTAACATTAATCTTTTTTTAGGTCTTACTTGTCATTTCCTCTTCCACATATTCTCTTGCACTGTTTTCTCTTTGTTTTCCACACAAATAAAGGAAAAATATACTATTACCTCTCTTTTATATTGTCAAAATTACAGGAACCTTTTCTTTGTTTTCAAAACTTATATCGTAGTTCAATTTTTTAACATTGTTAAGAATATTTCGTTAAAAACTCTAAAATACTTAAATTTTTATCTGGAATTATGCTGAAAATTTTAAAATTATTTATTTACCCTATATTTTATATGTCTACGATCTCTCTCCAAATTTTAAAAACTTTAAGCAATTAAGCATATCGATATTCAAACAAATAATTTAAAAATTGTGTTAAAGTTAAATTTTTTTTAAAATAAACATAAATTATATAAGTAGTTTATTATATTAAAACCTTATTTAATTTTTGGAAAAATTTTTATTTAATTTTGAAATATTATTTTAACTTAAAAATTTATTTTTTTAAGTTTCTAAATAAATGTGTTTATACAATTAAAAATTTAAAATAAAAATAAAATAGTAAAAATATATGCATTAATTTTTTGGGGTAATTAAATATTTTCTGGAGAACATTTATATGAAAAGATGTATTTTGATCCAACATATATAAGTTAATAATTAACTAATATTTGGGTAAATGAAAATGAAATCTTAAAAATAGAGGAGAGATTTGTATTTTGTAACAGTTCTAAATAGAAGAGGTTTGTATTGTTTTCAAAAATTGAAGGGAGGTATCTGTAATTAAGATAAAATAGAGCGGGTGTCATGGTATTTTACTCTCACACACACATAACAATAATTTGAGCATTAAATTTATGCCTACTGTTTCTGTTCCAGTACAGTATTATATTTATAAGGCGCGTCTATTTTGTCTCTTCCTTCTCTTGGCTTTGTATTTAGAAGCCACCAAAGATAGAAGAAGTAGGAGAATAATATAAAGGCATGTACATGCTGTTTTGTACGTTGGCCAAGAGCAAATAATAAAGGGCAAAAAATAAAGGATAAAGAAAAGTAAGAAGTTAAATATATATATAGAGAGAGAGGGAGATAAATACTGTTGGAAACTTGTATGCGTCTGCTATTTCGAAGTATTGCGGTGATTCCTTTCCTTATGGTCTGCACACACACACACACATATATATATATATTTATTCATGTATGTTTATAAATATAGTACAATCATTAATCATTTTCAACGGCACCTTTCAACTTTTGCATGTGTCATTCATAAAGTCGCACAGACTCTTTTAGCTTTTTAGTTTTTACGTACCTCACACGTATACTTTCTGTTTTTATACACAAAAGAAAAAATTTTTAGCGTACAGTTTAAAAAAATTAATTAATTATAATAATTATATTTAAAAATAAAAAAATTAGATTGAAATATCTTATATTAATCAATATAAGCATACATTAATTATTTTTTATTAATATAAATTATAAAGGATCATTTAAAAAATATTTAATAAATATTGAAATATGTGATTCTGCTTATATAAAAAATAAGTAAAAAATGATAATTTTTGTGACAAATATAAACGGAGTAGTATCACTTTAGGCTTATTAACGAGTGAAAAAAAATTAACTTCAAATTAATGATGATTGGTGACTAAATTTCACTCAATATTTTGAACAAAATTGGTTGCATGCCCTCACACAAAAAAAAAAAAAAGCATCATGCTTGACACCCCGATGATTCTATTTAACCTAAACTGGATATAAAGTTAATTAGTATCTTATTCAAATTTTGAAAAAATAAAAATAAATATGAGCTTCAATGTATTTGGTAAGGTAACCTGGAGAGCAATCTTGTATCTTTTATACTATAAATCTATAAGAATCATCAATGATGATAATTGAATCAAAATCTTTAAGTGATTTGGTTTAGAATTGGAGCGTTAAGTCAAATTATTAATATAAAATTCTTGTTAAAATATGCGTGTGGATTCATTTGAAATAAAAATTATATTTTAATATGTTATGAGATGTGGCACGCTTGGAAGGGTCAATACATGAGTATCTAAGAAATACGGGTAAATCTTAAATTGAAATTTGGATGTAAAAAGAAACAAAAGGGCAATTACCGTTGAGTCATATATAAGAAACTTATCTACTAATAAGTCCTCTAGATTTGTTTTAACACTAACAAGATTTTTGGAGAAATTGTGTAAAAACATACATGATAAATTTTAATTTTTTAGGTTTGACTAATAAATATCGCAAGAGGATTTGTGAAAAAAAAATCTAATTAAACCCTAAACCATGAAATGAGGGGAAAATTTTTTACAAGTTCCCCTATATATCATGTGTACAAGTCAAATTTTAAAATTTACAACTTATCCACCTGCATGTTTTTACGTACAAATTCTTTAGATGATCTATCAGTAATATATAAGTTAAATTCAGAAGATTATAAGTAATTAATTTAATTACCTAAAATCTATACATAATTTTTCTAAAGAAAAAAACTTTGCCAGATTAGGGTAAAAAAGAATAAAACAATAATAATAAGAAAATGAACGGGACAGAAATTGAAACTAAAATTAATCTACTACTAATATTTCATTTCTTTGCGATCCTTACTTGAAATAATTAAAAAATTATTGTTCTAGATTAGTCAATCATAAAAAAACCTTGATATCATGCAAGAAAAAACGTTCGTCAGTGTGATTAATGTTTATGTTTTCAAATTTAGTTTTGTTATCAAAAGGAATCTTTCTATGTGTCACTAATTAATTGTCTAGTTAATAGTAGTTATCCAATATATATACTCACAATAATGCAAAAAGCTTAAAATGCTCATGATCAGTGTGATTAATGTTTATTTATGTTTTCAAATTTTGTTATCTGTAACATCAGAAGCACAATAGTCAACTTATAAAGTTGGCAAAAGCTAGTTCTTGTCCGTTTTCATATCCTTAGTGGACTTTTGTTCATAGAAGGAATATTATGGCAAATGGCACATTGATTAATTAATTAATTAATTAATTAATTGAGAACGACCATTTCCTTGAACTGGTCTGACTAAATCAGACTAAGCTAGCTAGGAGCTAACTTCATATGAAACTTGTCAATCTATTAAATCTTAATTATTCCTAATCCTATATATGGTACACACTACAAAGGCCACAATTCATTAATCTTGACAAGTGATCCTTTTAAGTCGATGACATAAAACAAATGGACGTATCACTCTTGTATTTATGCTCGTGTAGCAGAATATTTCCAATTCAAAGCCAATCAATATACAACAAGTATATCATCATTAATTAATTTCAAACTTTTGACTTGTCAAGCCATACCTATGTGAGAGGTTATTATACTCTCTCCCCCAAAAGCTAGTTTAGTAGGGTATATAACACACTTACTTACATATTTAGGGCCTTTCTTAAGTTTTTTTAATGTGAGATGTGATAATTCTTCAAGCCAATCTGTGACACCTTCATCACAAGTGGCCTATTGAATAGCTTAGTGGGATGTGTAGTATACTTGCTTATAAATTCAAGACTCTTTCCAAATCCCTCTAATATAGGACTTAATACCTAGCTAGCTAACTAGCTTCATATATTAATCTTTGATTAATTATTATATATCATCATCAATAGTTATATATAGTTGGTTAGTCTAAGTAATGATATTATTTCCTTGAGCGAGGTTTAATTTGTTCTTATGCTATCCCACTTAATTATAAATTTTGATTATTTTTTGGCCAGAATTATAATATTTTGATTACTGGAAGTATCGTCACTGGTAAATTAGGATTTCCTAGATTAAGATGGAATTTTAACTCTCAATAAGAGGATATTAGGTTAACTATCCTTTTGATCATATCGCACGCAAGAGTCAAACTCTCTTCATAATCATCATTTCATCAAAGTAAACTCTCTTCATAATCATCAGTTCATCAAAGTAAAACCTAGTTGCTGTAATTGAAGCTTTTTATACATTAGCTAGATTGCACAATGAACCCATACCATAATGAAAATATAAAGAAAGGACAACAGTAAAGATTTAGAAAAAAATAATGACAGTTAGATCTTGATAAAATTTATTAAAAAATTAATTGTAACAATTGGTTCAAACAATTATGAAATTAAGCATGTAAGCTAGTGGAAGGTGCTGGAAAAAAATTATATTTATAATTAAAACTCTTAAATTTGTAATAATTTGAATAGTTATTTGTAAATCATTTTTAAAATTTTTTTATTGAAAACCTAATTATCATTAATCCTCTCGTTTGAGACTTTTCTATCACTTTTTCAAATGTACATAAACTTATAAATCACAGCATGTTTGTTTTTTTTTTTAAGTGACAAATATATAGATGACGCAGTTAAAGATTTGCAGTATTTAACTAAAAGCAGAGACAAGAGTGGAAGGGGAAAATAATTTTCTTTGTGATGTGGGGGAAATGTTTATATTGACTCATGAAGACTAAAATAATATTGTTTTGAGCAATATTTCTGTATGTGTCCATGTCCACGGACACACACAACTTGACGAAGAAAAGTTGAAGATGATGTGCATATTAAATTGATCGGTAAACAACAGAGCATGGTTTAATGAACAAGACAAGAAGATTAATTAAATAATGAGTAGTTTCTCCTTGGAGGATAATAATGTATATATAGATTGATTATAAGCGGGTCCAAATGTAGACTGATTATTAGTTTAGTCATAGATGATTTAATTTTTTATGTGTTTTATAAAAGAATATATAAAGCTACCAAGCATATATGCATGTGTAATATTCGATGTATTTTTTATCTTTTCTTACATAATTATTCATTAAAAAATGGCATGAATTAATATATAGGCAAAGGAAACTAAATTATGTTAATTTAAATAATCGCAAGACTCAAACATATATTAATGATTTTAATAAATAAAAGTACATACTTAATTAAATGACCACTTAATAATGACAGTTGGGTCGACTAGAAAGTGATTTGATTCTTTTTCAAGTAAACATTATAATTCAAATAATAATGACGTGAATGGAAAGAATTACATACGGAGAGTTATCTTTAATTGTGTTCAATTCTTAAATCTAACCTAATAGTATTAAATAATGACAAATTATATAAAATAAATAAAGGTATTCAAGTTTCGCGAAAATACAGAAGATGGAACAAGCCTGCTATGAATATGATAATATAACGTCATTCATGATAATTTAATAATCTACAAAGACAAGTTAACTGCAATTCAAGTCCTTTCCATATAATAACAAAGTTAGTCAGCATGGACTTATCAATTTTAAATTCAGCATTAATTTATATCTTCTGCCTACATTACATATTAGTAACAGTAGCTCACATGGTTGTTCGATTATTATATTGATATAGATATTTTCTTGCTTATTTTAGATTATATATTCCAATAATTTAGGTATACTACAAAACTCAGCAGCATCTAAAGCCTGTTCAAAATTATTTAATAAATTAAATTAATATAGCTCCAAGTTTGAACTTTTCAGAACCATATTATTGGCCTGCAGGGATATGCTCATCGTCCTTCGCAGTTCTCAACCCAGAAGTTTCCTACTTTCAAGGTTCTAATAGCCCACGGTTTTGTAATTTCGTAGTATATGGTCATAACTTTCGTGAATAATACTAATCATTTCATCACAGAGAGAAAAATATTATTTGCTTCATAATCATTACTATCAATTAAGGTTCTAATGCCAGAAACTCATTTTCTTTTTTATCAATTTTTTTTAAAGAAAGGCTTATTTTACTTAAATTTAACCACCACCTCTATTTTTTATTTCCCAGCTGTTAGGCATATCTTTAATGTCATGAGATAATGGATGAATCCAAAATCTTTTATTTTTTTTTGTGTTAGGGAAAAAGCCACATTTTGGGCCATTTGTCAACAACCTATGTAGCCCAGGATGTGCAACCAATGACCCAAAACTCTCAAAAGGCTTGCTCCACAAAAAGGAGCCTAAAGAAAGGGTAAAAAAAAAAAAAAGTTGTCAAAACTCAAGGAATGAAATACTCTTTATTTTATTTATTAATTACTTTTAATATATTTCATCAAAATCAAAAAAAATTTTAAATTTAACTAACTTTATCTTAAAATTCAACAAATTTTCACCTTTATCCCTAATAAATATTTTTAAATCTCATTATTGATGTTTTTATTCAAAACATTTAATAAGAATAAAAATGTAAATAAGAACATTGAAAATTGATAAGAGCCATATAAATAGGATTATTTTTTTTCTTTTCTCTCTACCTTACAAATAGAACTAAAAGAACAGAGAAGATATCTGGAATAAAATTATTGAAGATATTTGTAGGTAACCAAAGATAAAAAGAAATTTAGTTTTTCATCACATTGAAGTTAGGCTGCATTTGATACTAGGAAATGAAATTGAAGAAACCAAAGAAAGTATTTTTATTATGTTTAGTAGAGGATAAACTGAATGTCTTTAAAAGAGAGCTTGGTTTATTTATACTAGTACATGTGTGAATAAAATTGAGATGTAAAAAAAAAGGGTGAGATGTGAATAAATGTAGCCAATGAGGGGCCCACTTTACTACTTAAATGGAGAGAGTTTGGCCGTTAGCCAACTTTGGCGGCATAGTTATCGTATTAACGGCTTCATCTTCCCTACATCTAAACTGGCCCCTTTTGATTAGAACATGGCCCTTGCAGCTCTGCATACAATTCTACACTTTCGTTTTCTTTACCATCTAAGTTAAATTACGCCCAACAAATTAATTAAACGAACCTCTAATTAATTAATTCTCTTTTACGTTATTATTTTCATTTCATGACATCGATCAGTTCTGGTAAAACACACACAGGATTTGAAGATGATATTACTGCTCCAAGCGTGTCTACATTTATATACAAAACAATAAGAAGCCTTACCCTACGATGTCACACAAACAAACCTATTCATTATTAATGGAGATTCTATACAGAGATCTTGTTAAGAAAATCATGGCCAAATTCAAATAAAGAGGGGAAGGAGCAGATCAAGCCCTTTACGTTCACATTCATTCGCTTCTTCTCATGTGAAGTAGGTTATCCTCGTCTACATTACAACGTTGTTTATTCTGTTTTATCCTCTTCATCATCGCTCGTATCTTTTCTTCTCCATAACATTGTTTCAGAGACTGATAAAATATGTAAATTAAGCGACCTGATTACCGAGTTATATATATATATATATATATATGTCATGTTAAACAGGAACATGAGTCACAGTCGCTTGGAACAATCTAGCCCAGACCAAGTTAAACCGCCTAGATTCTTTGTCATCTCCGACAAACCACACGATATCTTCGTATTTTTTATCAGGCTCGGCGTTCTGGTCTGTCTTCTCATCTCCATCACGCTCGCTCTCTATTCCGCATTCTTCAAACCTTCTCGGTTGTTCCTCCCCGATCGCCTACAGGCCACCGACCGGGCCCGCTCGACCACCACCTCCGACCGCCCTGGCGCCGCCACCAACATCTCACACATCCTCTTCTGCATCGCAGGGTCGGAGAACACGTGGCAAGATCGCAGCCGCTTCAACAAGCTCTGGTGGCTCCCTAACGAAACCCGCGGGTTTGTCTGGCTAGACAAGGAGCCCCGGTACGATGTGTCCGGCGCGATTCCGTTCAAGATCTCGAATTACCGGTGGAAGAGCTTCGTCCACGGACAGGCCGCCGTGCGGATATCTCGGATTTTCAAGGAGAGCTTCAAGCTGGGCCTTCCGAAAGTGAGGTGGTTTGTGATGGGAGACGACGACACAGTGTTTTTTCCGGAGAACTTGGCGACGGTTCTAGGGAAGTACGATCACAGTGAGATGGTTTACATGGGGGACAATTCGGAGAGCGTGGAGCAGAATCTGTATCATGGGTTTGCGATGGCTTATGGAGGAGGTGGATTTGCAATCAGCTCAGCGTTAGCGATTCAGCTATCGAGGATCTTCGATGGGTGCCTTCGAAGGTATTATTATTTCTATGGTTCTGATCAGAGGGTGTGGGCTTGTGTCAATGAACTCGGCGTCACTCTCACCAGAGAACCTGGGTTCCATCAGGTATATTCATATATTAATACACACGCTTGCTTTGTTTTTAGTTTATTTGTTAAACTAGATTTGTTTTTTCATTACAATCATATAATATATATCATAGTTTTAAGAGGAGATCGTGACCTAAGAAAGTGAGATTGTGTACAGGAGGACCCATTTGTTGTCTTTAATTACATCCATCCTGTGATATCTTCTCGCAAATTGAATTCTTCACCCCAATAAGCTGGAGCACATAATAGCGTATTACCATTTAAATATGAATTTGGATACAGGGAGTGGTTTAAGTACATTTACTTAATCAGTATCTTAATTGTAACTTAATGAGTATTCATATATGAAAATTATCAAGATATATTTTTTTTAAAAAAATAAAAACAATCATTACTTATGATACTCCTTGCTTATATTACACCCTTGTAGATTTGATATTTGACATTTTTTTTAGGTATTGTATGACAAAATTTTTGATAGTCATTTGATTACATTAAATTATTGTTATCATGTCATATGAGACACTTATTGAGTGAGTATATTTAAACCACTCATGAATTCAAATCATTTAAATATTAGATATGAATTTCATCACATCTTACTCTACTTACCTTCTTGTACCCTCCATAAAGTAAAGGGAGAATGCTAATTAGGTCCTAATAATTTTTTAAAAATAAATTATAAATATTAATTTAAATAATTATAAATTTAGGAGTTACAATTGTGAATAAAATATTTGAGTTTTGAATACAACTCTTAGTTTAGAGTTAAAATTTTTGTATATATACTATCATAATCATTATTTGCAATTTATTTTTAAATTTTTGATCCAAAATCTAATTATCATTAATTTTACAATTGCCTTTCATAAAGTAAGCCTAGTTTTTATATAAATCAACATTGCAAAATCTTTGACGTGGCCTCCATCCTAGTATGATATAGAATATGTATGTCATTATATCAAGCTCAGTTCTATTTATGTGGATTATTTGGAGCACTAAAACTCATCTTCTGTCTTTCTCTTTCTACCTGAAGATCATTTAGAAGAGATTTACCAAAAGCTCCTCACCCTTTCTCTTTCCACCAGGTTCTGAACCAGGAGGGAATCATCTTATCATACATTGTGTCTAGATCCAAATCCGTGCCTGCTTTGTCCATTTGTTCTTGTTGTGTAATCTTAAACTGGGCATGAAATTGACAGTAGTCCTGTTTCTTTGTTTGTGTGCTTGATGTTCAGCTGGACATAAGAGGGGACCCATATGGGATTCTAGCAGCACACCCATTGGTCCCACTAGTTTCACTGCATCACCTTGACATGCTGGAGCCAGTGTTCCCAAACATGACCCGAGTCGATGCAATCCACAAGCTCATGGGCGCTTACCACATAGACCCTTCCAGAATATTGCAGCAGTGTTTCTGCTACGACCATAAGCGTCACTGGTCTGTGTCCATCTCGTGGGGTTACACGGTTCAAGTTTACCCCACGTTGTGGACTGCTAAGGATTTGCAGACCCGGTTCCGTACGTTTCAAACCTGGGGGACTCTGAGCGATGGGCCTTTCATGTTTAGCACTCGGGCCATGGGCCCTGACCCGTGTGATAAGCCCATTATATATTTTCTGGAGAAGGTCAAGAATGTGGGGAATGGAGCATGGACTCTTAGTAGCTATAAGAGGCACAAGGAAGGTGAAGATGGAAGAAGCTGCACAAGGCTGAATATCACTCCTGTGGTTGTGGAGAGGGTTAGAGTCGCTGCTTTGAAGCTTGACCCCAAATACTGGAAAAAAGTAAGTTGTTTCACAGCTTGTTATCATATCTTATTGTGAAATATGATATAGTATAGTAGGTTCCAGTATTTTGTTTGTTTTTAATCTTCATACTGTTGTTTATTTTTCGTTCTCTATTTGCAACATTAATTCATATAGTTTTAAAAATCTTGATAAGAATTATAAACTGTAGAGCCAATAATTTGAATAAGCTCAATTTGTTAATCTAAATAAGCTTGAAAAATTTTAAGATTAAGCTTGAAAGTTCAAATTTTTTTTTATTTTTAATTTATTTGGGTAGCCCAAGTAAGTCAAAATACCTGAATTCTTTTTTATTATTAATAAATAAAATTAAAAATAGATAAATATTAAAAATATTAATTTTTAAGATAAAAATTGAAATTTATTAAAAAGAAAAAATAAATTAAATTTAATAATATGAGCATTTGGGTTAGCCTAAATAAGCCAAAAACTTGAGGTTAGAGTCAGATTTAATTATGAGTTTTTTTTATATATTCAGATATTTTAAACTCACCTTGAATTGAGCATGATTCGCCTGAATTATCGGCTTCAATGAATTAGCATTGACATACTTAATTTCATAAACTTACATGTACTTAATTTCACTTTCATCTTCCACATTTTGTTTAAGCTAAATCTAAAAAAAAAAAATCTTCTTTGCCTTTTATTTTTTAATCACACTCGGTCAATATATTTTTATATTAGCAAATTTTTACCATGCTGGTAAAATGATTAGTAGAGTTACAAGGAAACTAACTCTGTCAATGCCAATTCATCATTTTTTACGTGTATTTTAAAAACTATAAAGATTAATGATACAAATTGATCAAACTAAAAGGACTGAGAACAATAAATGAATTAAAATTATAAAGACTTAAAACAAAGCACAGTGAATTAAATATAAGGACTGTTGTATTTTTTTCTTGTTTATTATATGCTGTTAAGACCGGTCTAAGTAACATTTTTTTTTTTTTGGTGTTGGCAAACAATTGAGTGATCTGCATAGAGTTAATAATGATATTGATTTGGGTGGCAATGAACATGAAGCAGGCACCAAGGAGGCAATGCTGTCAGATAATGAACGGAGGCCTAATAAAGAATGGGACATTGCGGATCAGGATTAGACACTGTGGGCCTCGTGAATCTATTACAGTTTAATTACTTAGGGTTATGGCCAATCCACATTAATTACCTCTGTAATTACGTAGCTAGATCAAAATTCATATAATTTTAGTCAATTCCATATGATTCAAAAATAACACACAAACTCTGACTTTGATATGTATAGATTTTTCCTCTACGCTCCTCCTATTTTCTTTTGTCTCTGCGATTGCAAGTTTTCCATCAACATACATTGGGACGCATTGATAATGATGATGAAGCAGCTTCATATTAAATGACTACTCCCTCTGGTCCTTTATACTCCATCCATCCATTTGTATCTAATTATAAAATCCAATTTATTTAAGAACACACAGTATCAATAAAGTTTGGTGTGTAAAAATTTGTTCATTGTTTTCTATTTTGCCTTCCATTAAAATGCCATATCTTTTCGACTTCAATTAAATTTCGTCATTTATAAGAAACATTTTTAGAAAAATATTTTCATTACGTATAAAACTTTGTAATGGGTCTTATAATTAGGAATACCACAACCCTATAAGTTGAATCTTATACTTACGGACTTAAAGAGTACAAGGCACTTTCAAAAACACTTGTAGTTGTTATACACTAAACTAAAAGTATTTATTATAGTTTTTCAACATTGCTTCCTTTTAATGTTTGTTGATCTCTCTCATTTGGCTCTTTTATCATTAAAACTTGGGTTTAAATATGAAGAAAGTTAGACACTTTTTTCATTTTTAGACAAAGATAAAAGGTTAACAATCTTTTCTTAATTCCAAGAAAACAATTTATAAAATGGATAGGATGAAGTATAATATAGAAAAAATGATACTAAAATTTCTTTGAATTATGTAAATAATATTTTGATCTCTCGAAATGCTATAATTTTCCTAAAGTTCTTAGGGGCTTTTTAGTCATTAAGAAACTAATGTAAATAATTAAATTGTCCTTAATTTAAGATTTTAAATGCGAACTTGCGATTTGATGTTGTATTCTTGCAATTTTAAAAATAAAGTTGTGAATATTAAAACAAAACTTATGAATAATAATTGATATTTGCAATACTTGAGAAATATTAAAATTTTAAATGTAAACTTGTGAATTGCTATTAAATTTTTGTGATTTAAAAAAAATTGTGAATTCTAAAATTAAATTTGTAAATAATAATTGATATTTAAATTAAAAACAATTTAATCATTTACATTAATTTCTCAATGGCATAAGTCTCTAAAAACTTTAAAAAAATTATGACATTTTAAAGAATCAAATTGTTATTTATATAATTCAAAAAGATTTTATTTTTGTCATTTTTCCTATGATCTACTTTTTTTTAAAAAAAAAAACGGAGTGTATTTTATCGCATTTCAAAGCAGGCGTGCTACAAATGCAATTGGACCTTCAGATCATATTTGTATTTTCTACAAAACGCGCGCGCGCGCACGAGATTGATTTCTTAGGCCAGAGACCCTCTGGAGGAGATCTGAAAGGCCACAACTGAGAACTCCTTGTTTATCAAGGGAAATACATCTTGCAGTAAGAGAAAAATTTCTAGTTATGTACAAAAAGATAATGCTTCAGAAATCTCGCAGTGAACTGTCCCTCTAGTAATATATTCAAAGCTATAACTATCACATATATTCATCCAGGACTTATAGTAATAACTAGCGTCCGTGAGGCAAATACAAGAAGGGGAATGCCGATTAACAACTATTATCACATGCTTTCCCTCTTTTACAAGTTGCAACTAACAGCTCCAACAAAAATCAAGATGTGAATGTAATCCACAATATTCTGCAGATTCAGTAGAAGAACCCAGACAACCTTTAATAAAAAGTCAAAAATTACCAAGGCATGAGATCATTGGCAGATAGCAAAATTGGCTCTGGTGGACATGCCATTAAATAAGCTATAATTAACCAACAACGGCAGAATCTTCACGTTTGGCTGTGTCATTGGAACCACCAGAACCCATTTCATCACGCTCCAAACCTTCATTTGATCCACCCTTTTCGTGTTGCAAATGCTCAGAATCCTGCTCAGGATACACCTCCGATTGCAATGATGGAGCAATGTTATTCACGTGCAGCCATGTCAGTTCCCATAAACTATCGCCACCTAAGGCGCTCCTCTGCACCAGAATGCCCCTTGTCTTCATAACAAGTAAGGTATTTTTGAGAAGCTCAGGCACTAGCTCTTGAAGCTTCTCACTCTTTTTCCCCCTAACTTTCACTTTCATATATTTTTCCATTCGGCTCAGCACCCCCAACCATAGTTTGCAAAATGTTGACAATTGTGATAGGTCTTGGAGTAACTGAAGATATACTTTAGATAAGAGCTTCATGGCAAAGATAAGGGTGCCTTCCATGTTGCGGTAATCTTTTTGGGACTGTCCTTGAGCAATTTCAAGCAGATCATCGAGAACTGTGAAAATGACCTGGTCAAAACACTGTGACCACACACTATGCGCAAGATAAATCCCATCAACTCCAGTCAAGCACTTCTGCAGTGATAATATAGCATGATTTCTGACCTCCTCTCTCTGGTCTAGACATACTTTCCTTAGTCCCTGCACTAGCCTCAACCACATCTCTCCAATATCCTGAGACAACTTTGACACTTCCTCCTCCCCCATTGTCTGCCTAGCCTCACTAGTCCACTGAACTAAGCAATCAACGGACCCTGCCATGAGATCCAGCGCCCGCACAGATCGCTCTGCCTGTCCAACCCGAGATTCAGCAAAGTGCCTAGCAGCTTCTACACAGAGAACATAACTAGCTGGTAGCAAGTGGGCTCCATCTGACATTATGAACAGTAGTGCCTCAAACCCAACCTCCGATGCTTCTAGGTGCTTAGCTGTGATTGAAAGTAGTGATGTAATTGTACGCCATCCTAACTGTGATCTGATATGAGAAGCATTTGCCTTCACAAGACGATTGACTTCCTGTGTAATCTGCTCACAGTATGCATCAGCAACTCGAGCATCAAGCTTCAAGACTAGCTGCAGGGACCTCAGAAGTTCATCAGCAATGCTCTCCTTGTAGGGAAGCAACCGCTGGCAAATCTTTAGAAGTCCAAAAACAGCCTTCTCTACCAGTGCGCAAGGCATTACAGTTGACTGAACAATATTGGAAATATGCTCATACACACCCTGCCAAAGTATTCCAATTCTATCCCTATTATTCAAAGTGATTGCAATCAACAACTCTAGGCAGAACACAGCAGTATCTTCATCCTCAGGCGTGCTGCCCCCTTTTTGAGGAAACCCTGCTGCCCAAATAAGTGCTCTTGCAAGTTGCAATAGAGACTCAGCTTGCAAAAATTTACTTTCAGTGAATATGCTGTCAATGTGACATTTCTGTATTGTTTGTAGGGTTCGCTGATGAGCAGCAAGTTGTTGTTCTGTAGGTTGTGACCTTGGCTCTTCAGTTTCAAGAGACAAGAGCTGACTAAACCTCCCCATCAATCCAGAGGATCTCCTTGGAGTACCAATGGATGGCATATGAGCTGATGACAAAGAATTTGTTATAGGCTTCCCGTGCCCAGTCTCAGGAGAAAGCTCTGACTCATCAGCTGCATCACTGGCTACACGGGCAGGAAGAAGTCCTAACTTGTGTAACCTTAAGATACAATCAAGTATATTTCTCCATCCTGTGCGGATGAAATCCCCATACCTATTAGCAATACTGAAAACTGTTACAGTTGCCATTCTTGCTTTCGTGTCATCTCCGAAGGCTAGGACTGGTTCCTCTACTGATGATGGGTTCAAAAGTGTAGTGAACTTACAGAGAGACACAACCAGATCATCCAGAACATCTTCAAGATGATGGCAAGCTGAAATTTTAGCGATAGCTAAGAATCCATCCATACAAGTTTGATATACCTCTTCATGTTCAGCATGATCAAATACCACAGATATGGCAGCAATTGTTGGGCCTGACATTATAGCAAACATATCATGATCAAGGTAGGCTCTGGAATCAGATACAATAAATGGAGCAGTTTTCTTTGATTTGTGCATCAGATCAATCCATCTACTTGGAGTCATTTCAGGAAATCCAGCACCTTGATCAGGGGTGGTGCGGATCTCATTCTTACAAATTGAATGGTAAAGCTCCGATAGGAACTCTCGAGGTAGATCATTGCCACCATTTATATGCCTATTATTACGAATAAAATCCTCTTCTGTCATCTTCTTTTTAACCTGTACATTGTGCTGATCTGTATTCAGCAATATGAGTGAATATGACAATACAAGGGCAGCATCCTTGTTAGCAAGAATATGTGGTGACTGCTCATAGTATCTTTCAGAAAAGGCTTCAAGCACCCTTTGTATCTTTTGTGATTCTCCTGGTAGTCTGAATGTCTCAAGAAAGAGTCGCAGAGCAGTGTCTATATTCATATCTTGGAAATCAAATGTTCCAGCAAATTTATGAAGAACCTGAACACAAAATTCATCATGATTTCCTAGGAAATCACCAACAAGATTCTTATCCAGCCCAGCAGTGTACCTGAAAAAGCAAGCAACACTTTGCGGATCAAGTTTGTCAGGCAAAAGATGTGTTCCTTGCAGAAACTCTAGACCTTTCTTAGGGTCACGATTAAAGTGGTCAGCTCCAATCATCAATCTTCTCTTCATGTACTTCCTTCGACGGACAAAAGGGACCCAATGATTTGGATCATTGTAATTCTCACACTTAACCATCCAAAATGGAGTATACTCTTCAAGATTCACAGGTGAATGTTCTGACATGTTAGATCCATTGCCAACCCGTTCAGCCATTCCTTGTATAACAGCAATGAGACCATCTAAAGCAAGAATATGCATAGAAGACAAAGGGCAGTTTACAGGAAATGCACTTTTTGACAACAAATTGGCAAGGTCTTCAAAGACATTACTGCAAGTAATGTCACAGTCAAAGTTAGCATACATATCTACCATAAATGTTTTTTGCCTGCAAAAGTCAACAACCGCCTCCATGGCAACCTCTTGCTGCTGATATGAAGCCCCATATCTGCTTTGTGCAAGCCTTAAAATGACACAGGAAAAAAATGCTTCAAGCTGCAATTTGAGTTCAGC